TTGGCATGGAGGAAACACAATAACTGACCTTGAGCCTGGAGGGACCACCTTAGGAATCTGTGGGAAACATGCTTCCTGTTTGCAGGGAGGAGATCCATCTCTCAAGGGCTGGCCTAGAAGACGACTGGTGGAAAACTGTACTTCATAAATATGCTACTCAAAATTTGTACTCAAAACAATTTTAGAGCACTGTTTGTACTGCAAAATCCTTTTCACCAGTAATTCATTCTGAGGCTGGTTAAGTCTTCTATTGATGGTTATAGCTGCTGCCTCTAGAATGTTGGACACTAGGCAAAGCAAAAGACAATTAAGGAAGCTTACCTTTCTAATAAAACATCCTAAATGTATCTACAGGCCAACAAGGCATACACCGGCAATCACTTGAAGGAAAGGACATGTGTCTTTCAATAAACTACTTGGGGAATGGATTTTACATTAACAAATCCTTTATACTCCCAGCATTCATTACAATCAGTCTTCTACTTAGGGGGTCCATAAGCAGTCCCAAGAAAGTGGGTCAGATCTATCAAAAGAGCTAAGGCAACAATCAAAGTTTATGGAGTGACAAAATCACACTTCACTAATAGGGGGAGTACAACTAGGGGAATCAATGGTGGAGAAGGATATGGGTGTTCTGGTAGATCATAAGGCTATGGATGTAACTAAAAACTCTCCACCTGAGCTTTGCAATAGCAGATGTGTCCAATCACACAGCTGAAAGGCAAATTTAGGCAAGTAGACAGCCTGCCCGAGACGGTGCCCCACTGGTTTCTCCCCAGAGCAGTTTTAAAAGGTTATCTGGAGCAGAAATGGTTAGAGTGGGGGATAGATCTACACAAATCCCAGCACTACCACTGTACAGTGTGCTAAGAACAAGCACTGCCCAGTTTCTGTAAGTGTGCAGCCAGAAATGGTACTCTCAGGAAGTGGCATGTATAAAAGATCCTAATGCATGGTGTGCTGCCAGCCCAAAGTAAACATGTGGGTTATGTGCAGTGTGGTGCAGCAGCAGAAAGCACACAGAGTCCCAGATTGGAAAAAACTAGGGGAATCAATGGTGGAGATTAGAGATGAGCGAATCGAAGTAGGCGAAGTGGAATTCGTTTCGAATATTACGAAAATTTTCCTAAAATGGCGGCGACATGTGCGGCGACGGAGCGGGGATGTCTGGGAAGGTGCGCAGACAAGGCACGCTGACCCATAATGCATTCATTCATGACATGTGATTGCATTAGCCAATCAGCAGCCAGCCAGCCAGCACAGTGTAATGGTCGAGCTATAAATAGCGGCCATTTTAGAATTCTCCATTTGCCTCCAGTCATTCAACAGAGGCAGACCTGGCTGTATGCAGGGAGAGAGTTAGGGACACAGAAACGTTACTTAGGGACAGAGAAACGTTAGTTAGGGCCACAGAATCGTTACTTAGGGCCATAGAAACGTTTACTTAGGGCCACAGAATCGTTAGTTAGGGCCACAGAAACGTTACTTAGGGACACAGAATTGTTACTCAGGGACAGACAGAATTGTTACTGAGGGATACAGAATTGTTACTGAGGGCCACAGAATCGTTACTTAGGGCCACAGAATTGTTACTAAGGGACAGACACAGAATTGTTAGTGAGGGACACAGATTTGTTACTGAGGGCCACAGAATCGTTACTTAGGGCCACAGAAACGTTACTTAGGGCCACAGAATTGTTACTTAGGGACAGACACAGAATTATTACTGAGGGACACAGATTTGTTATGAGGGCCACAGAATCGTTACTTAGGGCCACACAAATTGTTACTTAGGGACAGACACAGAATTGTTATTGAGGGACACAGAATTGTTACTGAGGGCCACAGAACCGTTACTTAGGGCCACAGAAACGTTACTTAGGGCCACAGAATTGTTACTTAGGGCCACAGAATTGTTACTTAGGGCCACAGACACAGAATTGTTATTGAGGGACACAGAATTGTTACTGAGGGCCACAGAACCGTTACTTAGGGCCACAGAACCGTTACTTAGGGCCACAGAAATGTTACTTAGGGACAGACACAGAATTGTTACTGAGGGACACAGAATTGTTACTGAGGGCCACAGAAACGTTACTTAGGGCCACAGAATCGTTACTTAGGGCCACAGAAACGTTACTTAGGGCCACAGAAACGTTACTTAGGGCCACAAAACTTTGAATTGTTACTTAGGGGACAGTTACTTAGGGACAGACACAGAATTGTTACTGAGGGCCACAGAAAGTTACTTAGGGCCACAGAAACGTTACTTAGGTACAGCACAGAAACGTTACTTAGGGCCACAGAATCGTTACTTAGGGCCACAGAATCGTTACTTAGGGACACAGAAACGTTACTTAGGGCCACAGAAACTTTACTTAGGGCCACAGAATTGTTACTTAGGGACAGACACAGAATTGTTACTGAGGGACACATTGTTACTGAGGGTTACAGATTGTTACTTGGGGACACAGAACCGTTACTTAGGGCCACAGAAACGTTACTTAGGGCCACAGAAACGTTACTTAGGGCCACAGAAACGTTACTTAGGGCCACAGAAACGTTACTTAGGGCCACAGAAACGTTACTTAGGGCCACAGAATTGTTACTCAGGGACAGACACAGAATTCTTACTCAGGGACAGACACAGAATTGTTACTCAGGGACACAGAATTGTTACTGAGGGACACAGAATTGTTACTGAGGGACACAGAATTGTTACTGAGGGACACAGAATTGTTACTGAGGGACACAGAATTGTTACTGAGGGACACAGAATTGTTACTCAGGGACAGACAGGACAGACACAGAATTGTTACTCAGGGACAGACACAGAATTGTTACTGAGGGACACAGAATTGTTACTGAGGGCCACAGAATTGTTACTGAGGGCCACAGAATTGTTACTTAGGGGACACAGAAACGTTACTCAGGGACACAGAATTGTTACTCAGGGACAGACACAGAATTGTTACTCAGGGACAGACACAGAATTGTTACTACTCAGGGACACAGAATTGTTACTCAGGGACAGGGACACAGAATTGTTACTGAGGGACAGACACAGAATTGTTACTGAGGGACACAGAATTGTTACTGAGGGACACAGAATTGTTACTGAGGGCCACAGAACTGTTACTTAGGGCCACAGAATTGTTACTCAGGGACACAGAATTGTTACTCAGGGACAGACACAGAATTGTTACTCAGAGGACACAGAATTGTTACTCAGGGACACAGAATTGTTACTGAGGGCCACAGAATTGTTACTTAGGGCCACAGAAACGTTACTCAGGGACACAGAATTGTTACTCAGGGACAGACACAGAATTGTTACTCAGGGACAGACACAGAATTGTTACTCAGGGACACAGAATTGTTACTGAGGGACACAGAATTGTTACTGAGGGACACAGAATTGTTACTGAGGGACACAGAATTGTTTACTCAGGGACAGGGACACAGAATTGTTACTCAGGGACAGACACAGAATTGTTACTGAGGGACACAGAATTGTTACTGAGGGACACAGAATTGTTACTGAGGGCCACAGAACGTTTAGGGACACAGAAATTGTTACTCAGGGACACAGAATTGTTACTCAGGGACAGACACAGAATTGTTACTCAGGGAGGGACACAGAATTGTTACTCAGGGACACAGAATTGTTACTGAGGGACACAGAATTGTTACTGAGGGCCACAGAATTGTTACTTAGGGCCACAGAAACTGTTACTTAGGGCCACAGAATTGTTACTCAGGGACACAGAATTGTTAATCAGGGACACAGACACAGAATTGTTACTCAGGGACAGACAGAATTGTTACTCAGGGACACAGAATTGTTACTGAGGGCCACAGAATCGTTACTTAGGGCCACAGAAACGTTACTTAGGGCCACAGAAACGTTACTTAGGGCACAGAATTGTTACTTAGGGACACAGAATTGTTACTCAGGGACACAGAATTGTTACTCAGGGACAGACACAGAATTGTTACTCAGGGACAGACACAGAATTGTTACTCAGGGACAGACACAGAATTGTTACTGAGGGACACAGAATTGTTACTGAGGGACACAGACACAGAATTGTTACTGAGGGCCACAGAACTGTTACTTAGGGCCACAGAAACGTTACTCAGGGACACAGAATTGTTACTCAGGGACAGACACAGAATTGTTACTCAGGGACACAGAATCGTTGAATTAAAGAGTATGTCAGACAACATGCAGAGGAGTGGCAGAGGAGGCAATGTTTTAGGAGCGAGCAGACGTGGCAGCAGAGGAAGGGGTCGAGGCAGCACTATTCGCAGCCAGAGGCCAGTGCTCCCGGTGTCATCCAGTACAGTGAGGAAGAGCTAACAGAGGGGCGGTCAGGAACGGGGGGAGACATCCGCCTCTTCAGCAGCCAGGCGAAGAAGTAGTGGCGAGGAGAGTGGCTCGGTAGCCGGTCTAGAGACAGGTCTGTCTCCTGACCCACACGCAGCAGAGGGGGCTAGTAGTGAGGCGGAGACCCTAATTGATGATGATGAGGCTGATCGCACTTGGCAGCCTCGTCGTCATCAGGCTATTGCTTCCGCATCATCAGGAGAAGAGGGTGGCAGCTTGGCAGCGAGCAAAACAGTCGGTGGGTTGTCTCCATCGCCACACTCTGCCATGTGCCACTTTCAGGTCTCCTCACACACTGCTGGTGTGTTCCATTTTTTGACATAGGGTGCTGGCAGATTACGGGCCTCCCATAGCTGCTGCCAGGCCCCTAATCTGCCATGGGCCCCTATAGCGCCTCCTCATGCTGCTGCCAGGTCCAGAGTGTCTCATGGGTCCCTGTACGGCCTCCCATTGCTGCTGTCTCCATCGCCACACTCTGCCATGTGGCACTTTCAGGTCTCTCACACACTGCTGGTGTGTTCAATTTTTTGTCATAGGGTGCTGGCAGATTACGGGCCTCCCATAGCTGCTGCCAGGCCCCTAATCTGCCATGGGCCCCTATACCGCCTCCTCATGCTGCTGCCAGGTCCAGAGTGTCTCATGGGTCCCTGTACGGCCTCCCATTGCTGCTGTCTCCATCGCCACACTCTGCCATGTGCCACTTTCAGGTCTCCTCACACACTGCTGGTGTGTTCCATTTTTTGTCATAGGGTGCTGGCAGATTACGGGCCTCCCATAGCTGCTGCCAGGCCCCTAATCTGCCATGGGCCCCTATACCGCCTCCTCATGCTGCTGCGAAGTCCAGAGTCTCTCATGGGTCCCTGTACGGCCTCCCATTGCTGCTGTCTCCATCGCCACACTCTGCCATGTGCCACTTTCAGGTCTCCTCACACACTGCTGGTGTGTTCAATTTTTTTGACATAGGGTGCTGGCAGATTACGGGCCTCCCATAGCTGCTGCCAGGCCCCTAATCTGCCATGGGCCCCTATAGCGCCTCCTCATGCTGCTGCCAGGTCCAGGCGAACGTAGTCACACAGGGGAGGAACTTCTCAGTGTAATGAACAGAGAAATCGACAGATGGCTGTCTCCGCGCAAACTGAAAATCGGAACCATGTTGACCGACAACGGAAAGAACATGGTGTCTGCTCTGCGTCAAGGAAGGTTGTGCCATGCGCCATGCATGGCTCACGTGTTCAATCTGGTTGTCAAGCGGTTCCTAAAATCCACCATCCCACTGCAAGACATCCTTAAAATGTCACGTAAACCTTGCATGCATTTCAGCCATTCCTACACCGCAAAGCACACCCTCCTTGAGCTGCAGCGGCAGAACGGAATTCCACAGCATCGCCTGATCTGCGACGTTGCAACAAGGTGGAATTCAACCCTACACATGGTAGACCGCCTTTACGAACAGCGAAAGGCCATCACCGATTTCATGATGTTACAAGCGGATAAAGGTACTCCCCTGTGTAACTTCGATGTCAGCCATTGGCAGCTCATGCGTGACACCTGCCGCTTGCTCAGGCCCTTTGAGGAGGCCACGCTATTCGTGAGTCGGCAGGACTATGGGATGAACGACGTCATTCCTCTGTTGCACGTCCTGGAACAAATGCTGTTAACAATGGCTGGTCAGGGTGCGGTAGACGTGGCGCACAGATCTCAACGCCACATGACCCCTGTGGGGGCAGGACAGGAAGAAGAGGAGGAGGTAGAGGAGGACATTTGTGCTCAGGAATTATTGAGTGAAATGGGTGGTTTTTCCACTCAGCGGACAGGAGTGGAGGAGCAGGAGCATCTGGTAGAGGAGGAGGAGGAGGAGACAGAGGACCCAGACGCACCGTGGCAGTATGCTGTGGAGATGGAGTCAGGGGGAGTCCCTCGCATTCCTTGGCACAAATGGCCCATAGCATGCTCGGTTGCTTGCGTAGCGACAGCCGAATAAGAACCATCAGACAGAGGGATGACTTTTGGCTGTCCACCTTGTTGGACCCTCGCTACCGTTCAAAAATGGTGGCCTTTTTTCACACCTGCTGAGAGGGAGGCCAAAATAACGTACTATAAAAACCACCTATGTAGTCAGTTGGTCTCTGCCTTTGTGCGCCAACGTCCATCCTCAGACACTGTGGGCCCTGTGCGCTCGCGTTCCGCTGCCATGGGCAGCAAGGGAGGGGTGGGGGGTGGTAGGAGCAGTGGCAGCTCCACCAGCAGCGGCTGACTCAGTCTGCAGTCGATGATGAGTAGCTTTCTTCACCAGCGCAGTGAGGAAAACTACTAACCAGCCGCAGCAGCAGCATCAGGTGGACCTGGAGCAGGACCTCAAACAACAGGCTTGGGCCTACTTGGACAGCACCCTGCCAACCGAGGTAGACAATCCCCTTGACTACTGGGCAACGAAACTTGACCTTTGGCCCCAACTAGCTGAATTTGCCCTTGAAAGGCTGTCATGCCCGGCCAGTAGCGTGGCATCGGAGCGCGTGTTTAGTGCGGCAGGAGGTATTGTAACTCCGCGGAGGACACGACTGTCCACCCAAAGTGTGGAGAGAGACTCACGTTTGTGAAAATGAATCAGGCGTGGATTAGTCTGGATTTCAAACCACCAGTTCCTGACACAACTGACTAAATCCGCCATGAATCATGCCCCTGCCATGTGCCACTTTCAGGTCTCCACTCTCCTCACACTGCTGGTGTGTTTCCATTTTTTGTCATAGGGTGCTGGCAGATTACGGGCCTCCCATAGCTGCTGCCAGGCCCCTAATCTGCCATGGGCCCCTGTACCGCCTCCTCATGCTGCTGCCAGGTCCAGAGTCTCTCATGGGTCCCTGTACGGCCTCCCATTGCTGCTGTCTCCATCGCCACACTCTGCCATGTGCCACTTTCAGGTCTCCTCACACACTGCTGGTGTGTTCCATTTTTTGTCATAGGGGTGCTGGCAGATTACGGGCCTCCCATAGCTGCTGCCAGGCCCCTAATCTGCCATGGGCCCCTGTACCGCCTCCTCATGCTGCTGCCAGGTCCAGAGTCTCTCATGGGTCCCTGTACGGCCTCCCATTGCTGCTGTCTCCATCGCCACACTCTGCCATGTGCCACTTTCAGGTCTCCTCACACACTGCTGGTGTGTTCCATTTTTTGTCATAGGGTGCTGGCAGATTACGGGCCTCCCATAGCTGCTGCCAGGCCCCTAATCTGCCATGGGCCCCTATACGCCTCCTCATGCTGCAGCCAGGTCCAGAGTCTCTCATGGGTCCCTGTACGGCCTCCCATTGCTGCTGTCTCCATCGCCACACTCTGCCATGTGCCACTTTCAGGTCTCCTCACACTGCTGGTGTGTTCATTTTTTTTTGACATAGGGTGCTGGCAGATTACGGGCCTCCCATAGCTGCTGCCAGGCCCCTAATCTGCCATGGGCCCCTGTACCGCCTCCTCATGCTGCTGCCAGGTCTCACAGTACGGCCTCCCATTGCTGCTGTCTCACTCAGTCTCATGCCATGCTGCCACTTTCACTCTGCCATGTGCCACTTTCAGGTCTCCTCACACTGCTGGTGTGTTCCATTTTTTGTCATAGGGTGCTGGCAGATTACGGGCCTCCCATAGCTGCTGCCAGGCCCCTAATCTGCCATGGGCCCCTATACCGCCTCCTCATGCTGCTGCCAGGTCCAGAGTCTCTCATGGGTCCCTGTACGGCCTCCCATTGCTGCTGTCTCCATCGCCACACTCTGCCATGTGCCACTTTCAGGTCTCCTCTCACACTGCTGGTGTGTTCCATTTTTTGTCATAGGGTGCTGGCAGATTACGGGCCTCCCATAGCTGCTGCCAGGCCCCTAATCTGCCATGGGCCCCTGTACCGCCTCCTCATGCTGCTGCCAGGTCCAGAGTCTCTCATGGGTCCCTGTACGGCCTCCCATTGCTGCTGTCTCCATCGCCACACTCTGCCATGTGCCACTTTCAGGTCTCCTCACACTGCTGGTGTGTTCCATTTTTTTGACATAGGGTGCTGGCAGATTACGGGCCTCCCATAGCTGCTGCCAGGCCCCTAATCTGCCATGGGCCCCTATACCGCCTCCTCATGCTGCTGCCAGGTCCAGAGTCTCTCATGGGTCCCTGTACGGCCCTCCCATTGCTGCTGTCTCCATCGCCACACTCTGCCATGTGCCACTTTCAGGTCTCCTCACACACTGCTGGTGTGTTCCATTTTTTGTCATAGGGTGCTGGCAGATTACGGGCCTCCCATAGCTGCTGCCAGGCCCCTAATCTGCCATGGGCCCCTATACCGCCTCCTCATGCTGCTGCCAGGTCCAGAGTCTCTCATGGGTCCCAGTGTCTGTCTCCATCGCCACACTCTGCCATGTGCCACTTTCAGGTCTCCTCACACACTGCTGGTGTGTTCAATTTTTTGACATAGGGTGCTGGCAGATTACGGGCCTCCCATAGCTGCTGCCAGGCCCCTAATCTGCCATGGGCCCCTATACCGCCTCCTCATGCTGCTGCCAGGTCCAGAGTGTCTCATGGGTCCCTGTACGGCCTCCCATTGCATTGCTGCTGTCTCCATCGCCACACTCTGCCATGTGTGCCACTTTCAGGTCTCCTCACACTGCTGGTGTGTTCCATTTTTTGTCATAGGGTGCTGGCAGATTACGGGCCCCATAGCTGCTGCCAGGCCCCTAATCTGCCATGGGCCCCTGTACCGCCTCCTCATGCTGCTGCCAGGTCCAGAGTGTCTCATGGGTCCCTGTACGGCCTCCCATTGCTGCTGTCTCCATCGCCACACTCTGCCATGTGCCACTTTCAGGTCTCCTCACACTGCTGGTGTGTTCATTTTTTGTCATAGGGTGCTGGCAGATTACGGGCCTCCCATAGCTGCTGCTAATCTGCCAGGTCCCCCTAATCTGCCATGCTGCTGCCCCTGTACCGCCTCTCATGCTGCTGCCAGGTCCACAGTGTCTCATCGCCACACTGCCATGTGCCACTTTCAGGTCTCCTCACACTGCTGGTGTGTTCCATTTTTTTGTGACATAGGGTGCTGGCAGATTACGGGCCTCCCATAGCTGCTGCCAGGCCCCTAATCTGCCATGGGCCCCTATACCGCCTCCTCATGCTGCTGCCAGGTCCAGAGTCTCTCATGGTGGGTCCCTGTACGGCCTCCCATTGCTGCTGTCTCCATCGCCACACTCTGCCATGTGCCACTTTCAGGTCTCCTCACACTGCTGGTGTGTTCCATTTTTTGTCATAGGGTGCTGGCAGATTACGGGCCTCCCATAGCTGCTGCCAGGCCCCTAATCTGCCATGGGCCCCTGTACCGCCTCCTCATGCTGCTGCCCAGAGGTCACATTGTGTCTCATGCCCACTCTGCCATGTGCCACTTTCAGGTCTCCTCACACTGCTGGTGTGTGTTCCATTTTTTGTCATAGGGTGCTGGCAGATTACGGGCCTCCCATAGCTGCTGCCAGGCCCCTAATCTGCCATGGGCCCCTGTACCGCCTCCTCATGCTGCTGCCAGGTCCAGAGTCTCTCATGGGTCCCTGCCAGCCTCCATTGCTGCTGTCTCATCGCCCATGTGCCACTTTCAGGTCTCCTCACACACTGCTGGTGTGTTCAATTTTTTGTCATAGGGTGCTGGCAGATTACGGGCCTCCCATAGCTGCTGCCAGGCCCCTAATCTGCCATGGGCCCCTATATACCGCCTCCTCATGCTGCTGCCAGGTCCAGAGTCTCTCATGGGTCCCTGTACGGCCTCCCATTGCTGCTGTCTCCATCGCCACACTCTGCCATGTGCCACTTTCAGGTCTCCTCACACTGCTGGTGTGTTCCATTTTTTGTCATAGGGTGCTGGCAGATTACGGGCCTCCCATAGCTGCTGCCAGGCCCCTAATCTGCCATGGGCCCCTGTACCGCCTCCTCATGCTGCTGCCAGGTCCACAGTGTCTCATGGGTCCCTGTACGGCCTCCCATTGCTGCTGTCTCCATCGCCACACTCTGCCATGTGCCACTTTCAGGTCTCACACACTGCTGGTGTGTTCAATTTTTTGTCACATAGGGTGCTGGCAGATTACGGGCCTCCCATAGCTGCTGCCAGGCCCCTAATCTGCCATGGCCCCTATACCGCCTCCTCATGCTGCTGCCAGGTCCAGAGTCTCTCATGGGTCCCTGTACGGCCTCTCATTGCTGCTGTCTCCATCGCCACTTGCCATGGCCACTTTCAGGTCTCCTCACACTGCTGGTGTGTTCCATTTTTTGACATAGGGTGCTGGCAGATTACGGGCCTCCATAGCTGCTGCCAGGCCCCTAATCTGCCATGGGCCCCTGTACCTCCTCCTCATGCTGCATGCCACGGCCTCCATTGCTGTGTCTCCATCGCCACACTCTGCCATGTGCCACTTTCAGGTCTCCTCACACTGCTGGTGTGTTCAATTTTTTGACATAGGGTGCTGGCAGATTACGGGCCTCCCATAGCTGCTGCCAGGCCCCTAATCTGCCATGGGCCCCTATACCGCCTCCTCATGCTGCTGCCAGGTCCAGAGTCTCTCATGGGTCCCTGTACGGCCTCCCATTGCTGCTGTCTCCATCGCCACACTCTGCCATGTGCCACTTTCAGGTCTCCTCACACACTGCTGGTGTGTTCAATTTTTTGACATAGGGTGCTGGCAGATTACGGGCCTCCCATAGCTGCTGCCAGGCCCCTAATCTGCCATGGGCCCCTGTACCGCCTCCTCATGCTGCTGCCAGGTCCACTGTACGGCCTCCCAGTGTCTCATGCCATGTGCCACTTTCAGGTCTCCTCACACTGCTGGTGTGTTCCATTTTTTGACATAGGGTGCTGGCAGATTACGGGCCTCCCATAGCTGCTGCCAGGCCCCTAATCTGCCATGGGCCCCTATACCGCCTCCTCATGCTGCTGCCAGGTCCAGAGTCTCTCATGGGTCCCTGTACGGCCTCCCATTGCTGCTGTCTCCATCGCCACACTCTGCCATGTGCCACTTTCAGGTCTCCTCACACTGCTGGTGTGTTCCATTTTTTGTCATAGGGTGCTGGCAGATTACGGGCCTCCCATAGCTGCTGCCAGGCCCCTAATCTGCCATGGGCCCCTGTACCGCCTCCTCATGCTGCTGCCAGGTCCACAGTGTCTCATGGGTCCCTGCCATGTGCCACTTTCAGGTCTCCTCACACACTGCTGGTGTGTTCAATTTTTTGACATAGGGTGCTGGCAGATTACGGGCCTCCTATAGCTGCTGCCAGGCCCCTAATCTGCCATGGGCCCCTATACCGCCTCCTCATGCTGCTGCCAGGTCCAGAGTCTCTCATGGGTCCCTGTACGGCCTCCCATTGCTGCTGTCTCCATCGCCACACTCTGCCATGTGCCACTTTCAGGTCTCCTCACACACTGCTGGTGTGTTGAATTTTTTGACATAGGGTGCTGGCAGATTACGGGCCTCCCATTGCTGCTGCCAGGCCCGTAAATCTGCCATGGGCCCCCGTACCGACTCCTCATGCTGTGACGTTGCAACAAGGTGGAATTCAACCCTACATATGTTAGACCGCCTTTACGAACAGCAAAAGGCCATCACAGATTTCCTGATGTTAAAAGCGGATAAAGGTACAACTCCCTGTGTAACTTAGATGTCAGCCATTGGCAGCTCATGCGTGACACCTGCGCTTGCTCAGGCCCTTTGAGGAGGCCACGCTATTCGTGAGTCGGCAGGACTATGGGATGAACGACGTCATTCCTCTGTTGCACGTCCTGGAACAAATGCTGTTAACAATGGCTGGTCAGGGTGCGGTAGACGTGGCGCACAGATCTCAACGCCACATGACCCCTGTGGGGGCAGGACAGGAAGAAGAGGAGGAGGTAGTAGAGGAGGACATTGGTGCTCAGGAATTATTGAGTGAAATGGGTGGTTTTTCCACTCAGCGGACAGGAGTGGTGGAGGAGCAGGAGCATCTGGTAGAGGAGGAGGAAGAGGAGACAGAGGACCCAGACGCACCGTGGCAGTATGCTGTGGGAGATGGAGGCAGGGAGTCCCTCGCATTCTTGGCACAAATGGCCCATAGCATGCTCGCTTGCTTGCGTACCGACAGCCGAATAATAACCATCAGACAGAGGGATGACTTTTGGCTGTCCACCTTGTTGGACCCTCGCTACCGTTCAAAAATGGTGGCCTTTTTCACACCTGCTGAGAGGGAGGCCAAAATAACGTACTATAAAAACCACCTATGTAGTCAGCTGGTCTCTGCCTTTCTGCGCCAACGTCCATCCTCAGACACTGTGGGCCCTGTGCGCTCGCGTTCCGCTGCCATGGCAGCAGGGGAGGGGTGGGGTGGTAGGAGCAGTGGCAGCTCCACCAGCAGCAGCTGCCTCAGTCTGCAGTCGATGATGAGTAGCTTTCTTCACCAGCGCAGTGAGGAAACTACTACCAGCAGCCAGCAGCAGCAGCAGCATCAGGTGGACCTGGAGCAGGACCTCAAACAACAGGCTTAGGCCTACTTGGACAGCACCCTGCCAACCGAGGTAGACAATCCCCTTGACTACTGGGCAACGAAACTTGACCTTTGGCCCCAACTAGCTGAATTTGCCCTTGAAAGGCTGTCATGCCGGCCAGTAGCGTGGCATCGGGAGCGCGTGTTTAGTGCGGCAGGAGGTATATTGCAACTCCGCGGAGGACACGACTGTCCACCCAAAGTGTGGAGAGACTCACGTTTGTGAAAATGAATCAGGCGTGGATTAGTCTGGATTTCAAACCACCAGTTCCTGACACAACTGACTAAATCCGCCATGAATCATGCCCCAAACATGTGCCACTTTCAGGTCTCTCACACTGCTGGTGTGTTCCATTTTTTGTCATAGGGTGCTGGCAGATTACGGGCCTCCCATAGCTGCTGCCAGGCCCCTAATCTGCCATGGGCCCCTATACCGCCTCCTCATGCTGCTGCCAAGTCCAGAGTCTCTCATGGGTCCCTGTACGGCCTCCCATTGCTGCTGTCTCCATCGCCACACTCTGCCATGTGCCACTTTCAGGTCTCCTCACACTGCTGGTGGGTTCCATTTTTTGTCATAGGGTGCTGGCAGATTACGGGCCTCCCATAGCTGCTGCCAGGCCCCTAATCTGCCATGGGCCCCCGTACCGACTCCTCATGCTGCTGCCAGGCCCGTAATCTGTCATGGGCCCCTGTTGTCGCTTGTTGGCATATTCCGTCCAGAAGCTGAACGTCCTCCTGTCCAAGTTGCTGCTGCCAGGCTCGTAATCTGTCATGCGCCCCTGTACCGCCTCCTCATGCTGCTGCCAGGTCCAGAGTGTGTCATGGGTCCCTGTACGGCCTCCCATTGCTGCTGCCAGGCCCGTAATCTGCCATGGGCCCCCGTACCAACTCCTCATGCTGCTGCCAGGCCCGTAATCTGTCATGGGCCCCTGTACCGCCTCCTCATGCTGCTGCCAGGTCAGAGTGTGTCATGGGTCCCTGTACGGCCTCCCATTGCTGCTGTCTCCATCGCCACACTCTGCCATGTGCCACTTTCAGGTCTCCTCACACTGCTGGTGGTTTCCATTTTTGTCATAGGGTGCTGTATGGCCTCCCATTGCTGCTGCCTCCACCGCCACACTGTGCTAGTATTATTTCTCTTCCCCACCAGACTCCAAGGGCATTTAAATTAAAGGTACAGTGTTCTGCACTAATATAAAGTCTCTCTGAAGCCTGGAAACACCCTTTTATAAGTTAAATTCACAGCGAATATATTCTACTCGAATCGAAATTTTTCCACGAATTCGCCGAATCAGTCGAATCGAATTTTGGAATACTTCGCTCATCTCTAGTAGTTGTAAGCTTCACTGCA